CTACCCATTTGCCACTTTCTCCATTTTTCCATTTTCTTGAATGCTTACTTTCTGTAAGAAAGAAATCGACTTTAATAAGAGTGAGTAATCAGTTGGACTAATTCTTGTTTTATCAAGAAGATCCAAAACCCCATCAATATCTCTGTCAATTCAAGTTGAGATCTTGGAAGAGCATTTGCTCTGTAATCATCAGTTTCTTTAATCTTGTAAGTATTTTTTTTTCTTTTTGTAGTAAGTTTATAATCTTCTTATCTAATTTGGGGTTGTGGGTAGTTGACAGATTGTTGATATATTAAGCTTTAATTTTGTAATCTTGTATGTTTGTTCTTGGAGCTGAAGAAGGGTTTTGGGTTCAAGAAAGTTGGAAAAGAAGTATTTTTCGCTGTACTAAATCCAAGAAAGTGATTAATGTATTCTTAAAAACTAATAAAAAAAAGAATCTGAGATTTGTTCCTTGTTTAGGTATATGATATTGAAGAAGCTAGCTAGTCAACGGTGTTGTTTCATTAAATTGGCTCAGTAGCTAGCGATTTTGAATAAACATTTGTAGCATACATGTCAAACTAATGGAGGAATTGAATGTAGTAAGACTATCACCCTTGAGGTTGAATGGTCCCGTCCCTGCGAAGTCAACATTGTCAGGAAGATCAACTCCTAGAGGAGGATCTCCTTCCTTCAGGAGATTGAATTCTGGACGAACACCGCGAAGAGATGGTAAAAGTAGTGCTTTTGGTTCTCAGTGGTTTAGAAGTAACCGCATTTTACTTTGGCTGCTTCTGATTACTCTTTGGGCCTATGGAGGATTTTATGTTCAGTCAAGATGGGCTCATGGAGACAATAAGGAAGGTATTTTTGGAGGATCTGGAGGTGATGTTGCCAATGGAACTTCTCAACCAGAGGAAAAAAATCAACGAATTCTAGTTGCGAATGAGGAGTCTTTAGCAGTCAAGCCTCCAAGTAATAAAACACAGGGCAATTCAATGGACCTGGATGTAGTCTTGGCTAAACAGGGAAACAGTGTGGTATCTGACAAGGTTTCATCTTTTAAGAAGAAGAGCAAGAAGTCTACACGTGCTTCTCGTAGGAAGACTCGTGGTAAGAAGAAGGTGGTGGCAGAAGTAAAAAATGACGATATTGAAGTTCAAGAAGAGGAAATACCCAAGCGAAATACTACGTATGGCCTGCTAGTTGGTCCATTTGGGTCAATAGAGGACAAAATTTTGGAGTGGAGCCCTGAAAAGCGGTCAGGAACCTGTGATAGAAAAAGTCAGTTTGCACGTCTTGTTTGGTCTAGGAAATTTGTGCTGATACTACATGAACTCTCTATGACTGGAGCTCCACTTGCCATGTTGGAATTGGCAACGGAGCTTTTAAGCTGTGGGGCCACAGTTTATGTAGTACCTCTCAGCAAAAGAGGGGGTTTAATGTCAGAACTATCTAGAAGAAAGATCAAAGTGCTAGAAGACAAATCAGACCTCAGTTTCAAAACAGCCATGAAAGCAGATCTTATTATTGCAGGTTCTGCAGTGTGTGCATCATGGATAGGTGAGCATTTCCACATTTGCTATCTATGATCACTGCATCTATCTTCTATAGAGTTTTAATGTGGCAAGTTGTGCTCGTAATGTGATCTTCATTCTCAACTGATAGCATAGCTGCAACATATCATGTTCAACTGATAGATCTCCTATAATTCAGTTTATATAACACTGAACCAAACATGTGTTATGCTCTTAGCTATAATCTAAAATTGTGGATTCTCATTATTTCAATAAAGGAGCCGATTTTTGCCAGTTCTCAGTGCAACCTTTTGTGTAGACCTTTATTGCAAATCTTGAGTGAGATTTGAATTTTCCTAGAATGATGTAATATTAATCAGTTCTTTTGCTTCATGAAAAAATCTTCCTTTTGGCTGTGCTAGGATTAGTCTTTGATTTTCTTGATTTTAGCCTTCATAAATTCTATGAATTTGCTTATGTTCTTTTCTTCTCCTTGTGGGCCTTGGCTAACTTCTAACGATTAATATCTCGCTTTCAGAACAATATGCAGCACGTACTGTGCTAGGTTCAAGTCAAATTACTTGGTGGATCATGGAAAACCGGCGGGAATACTTCGATCGGGCTAAACTTGCTTTCAACCGAGTGAAGAAACTTATCTTTCTTTCTGAATCACAGTCTAAGCGCTGGTTAGCTTGGTGTGAGGAAGAACATATAAAGCTCAAAACTCAGCCTGCACTGGTTCCACTTTCTATTAGCGATGAACTGGCTTTTGTAGCAGGCATCCCGTGCTCACTGAGCACTCCACTATTCAGTCCTGAGAAGATGCTGGAAAAGAGGCAGCTACTAAGAGATTTTGTGAGGAAAGAAATGGGATTGACAGACAATGATATGCTTGTCATGTCCTTGAGTAGTATAAACCCTGGAAAGGGTCAGTTTCTGCTTCTTGAAACAACACGCTTACTGATTGAGGGAGCTCCTCCTCTAAATGGATCTGCTGTTAAAAGACGAGAATATCAGAAAAGGACATTGCTTTATAACTGGAAACAATTTGGTGAATGGAAAAAAGAATCCTCCACCTTGTCAAATAACCCACAAACTGAAGCGTTGCAGGTACCCCAGCTTTTCATTAAGGGGGTTAACTATACAGCTGGAATTGAAAATGATAGAGGAACTCGAAAGCTTTTCTCCCTAACTGAAGGGAAGCAGGGAGAAAAGCTTAAGGTTCTTATTGGCTCAGTCGGATCCAAGAGCAATAAGGTGCCTTATGTTAAAGCACTTCTCAACTTTCTAAATCAGCATTCTAACTTGTCAAACACAGTACTATGGACTCCATCAACCACTCGTGTCGCTGCACTTTATGCTGCTGCAGATGCTTATGTAATGAATTCTCAGGTTAGCCTTTACAACTGTATCTAATTCAATTATTGTTCAGTTCAGCAAATGTACAGTGTTAATGTTTCTGGGAGATATTAATACTATTATATAAGAGTCTATGGGGGAGTTTAAGTAAATCAGAACAGAGTAAAAAAAAAATGTAGGTCAAGTAAAATAGACAGATATGAGAGAGTAGATGTTTCCTGTGATAAGTGCAAATCTAAACTATTTTCGCGATTGGTGATATTTCAGATTGAAACGTGAAAGCATCGTAAGGTTGTGTTACCTCTTGTAAGATTTCTCAATAAATGTAAATATTACCCAGCAATGTGAAATTATTTTCAGTAATAAGTACCAAGTCAATACATTTTAGCAACTAGCAAATACAAAATTATGGGTCTCCCAATGAAATTGAGAACCTTTGTTAGTTGGTTTGCTTGTATCCATTTATTAATTAATTCGAGTTGGATTTATATGAGGAACTATACTAAAATCATGACTTCAGAGAATTTATGCTATTCTGGTTTTCAGTGGTTCTCTAGAGGGTAGGAGATAGAATGAATTGGTTCTTCATTAGCGTCAACTAGAAGTGCGAGGAAAAGGTTGAACCTTGAGCATGAAAGTTGGTTTGACTTTGGTCTTTTGGTTGGGAAGAAAGGGAAAGCAGTCCCTCAGCAACTACTTAATGCTTAATCCTATTAGTTATCTCAGTTTTTTAGGGAGCATGGGGCATATATTAGTCTGGTGGTAGAAGTAAGGATTCTGAAGTATTTTGCTGTTGAATGAGACCATACTGTGCACAGTGACGGATAATGTATGAAAAAAGAGTCATATAAAGTACATCTCATTGAAACATAATGGTTAGTTTCCTGGAATGGTTACAATGATCATATGGGTTCTTTTATACTTCTCGGACTACTATTGGTTTCCTTGTCACATGGTTTACTCTGCTGATATTGGTCCCCATGGTTCTTTCCTGAGTATTGGCACTTTCCTGAGTAACGTTCTTTTAAAAAAAGAACATACCCACCATGAGCTATACCCAATGCCATTGTGTAATTTCATTTGATACTTAAATGATTGCTTAGTTTCATTTTGGTAGTTAGTACTTATTTATCTCGAGTAATGGCTGTTTAATTTTTGCAGGGACTTGGAGAAACATTTGGGAGAGTGACAATTGAAGCAATGGCATTTGGTCTTCCTGTAAGATTCTCAATTCCGTCCTGCCAATAGTATAACATGTGCATGTACTTTTTGCATGCCATCAAATCAGTCATTTTTGAGACAGAAAGTAGTTGTTTCTTTTAAATACACTGGCAAGAAGCTATGTCGAGCTACAGAGTGTATGGTAATCTGCCACATATTAGTTAAATTTTGCGATAATATGCACTGGCTTTGAACACAATGCAAAGTTTGTTGTTGACAAGTAATATGGCCAAATAAAGTGGATTTAACATATAATTTTTTTACAGTTGCTGGGAACAGATGCTGGAGGCACAAAGGAGATCGTTGAACATAACGTAACAGGTCTTCTTCATTCTTTGGGACGTCCAGGCACTCAAAACCTCGCCAACAATCTCCAGTATTTACTGAACAATCCCTCGGAAAGGCAGCGATTGGGTAGCAATGGAAGAAAGAAAGTAAAGGATATGTACCTAAAGATGCACATGTACAAGAGATTCGGAGAAGTACTATACGACTGCATGAGAATAGAATAAGACCATTTTTCATTCATTTTCCTGTATTGCTGTTCCTCTTCTTCCCCTAGAAAACACACATCAACAATCAGACTTGTGTACAGTACGAAATCTAGTTGTGTTCTTCTTTTTTACTGTCTACCTGTCGTGCTACCTGTTTTTCTTATCTCTCACCTGGTGCATGGTACCCGCATTGAGCTTGGATCCGTGCTCCTAGCAGGGATTTTTCTATATATATAGAGTTCAAATTCAAGATCTCTGATTAAGCTCCCTTACTCGAAAACCACAATTTTAGAATTGGAGGTAGAATAGTCGTTTTTAGTTTAATTTTAAAGAGTATCAAATTTTATATTTGTCGAAATTTTAGTTGATGTTTTTTATTTATGCGCATGTATGTTTTATCAACGCAACAAAACTATTCTGATAATTATAACTGTACAATCAACACAAACTTATGACACTCAAAAGAAACTCTTTTACATCTCCAGGCAGCAGCCGGATTGAACGTGGCCGGAAAAGTTCACCGGAGTATCCATTTTTGTCCATTTATAACTCTGTAAATCAAGAACATAAGTATTGTGGGGTTCATTAAATCCCATAGAACCAGTCATCAGAATTTTACCCCTCCATGCTGTCACAAAAGCTACGCTCCGGAGCTCCACCGGAATCGCCGCCACAGCTTGCCACGTAGACTTTCCGAGTGCCAGCACATCACCGTCCCGGCACAAGTACAATTTTCCGTCCCCACCCTCAACGCAGGTTCTTGGACATGTGGCAGATTCAAAGAAATGTTCGTTGACTTGGTCCCACTGCCACGTGGAAGGATCGAATGACTCAGCGCTTGTACCGAATTGGCCTTGCATGCTCGTGTCATATCCGCCGATGACGTGGAATTTATCTTGAAAAAAAGTGCATTTACATTCATCTCTTTCACTTGCCATGTCAGGCATTGGGACCCACATATCCCTTGCCACGTCATACGCCATCGCCGATTTAAGTGCGTTTTTCTCCTCGTCGTGACCTCCGGCGACGTACACCGTCCGTTCAGAATCCGACGCACAACCGAAAAAGGATCTCCGGCAACCAGGCATGTCGGCTCCACGTCGCCACGTGGCGGATACAAAGCTAAAAACAAGAACAGCGTTTGAAGGTTCCCAAGTAAGAGGGTTCCACCCGCCCATCACCACCAGATTCAATCCAACTCCGACGAGCTGGCAAAACATCGGCAACCCATCGGAAATACCAGGAACCGGTGGTAGTTCCGCCCAATAACCCGATTCCGGTTCGTAAAGCGTAAGCTTGTAAAACGAAAAAGCAGAGTACTTGAATGACCCGAGTTTCAATCTCGGGTCAATTCGGGCTTGCGCCATTAAAATTACCTGGCGGGTGGAGCCAGTAGCTCTTCTTCGCCTCCAAAACTCGGGAAGCTCAATCTGAAGCTTCCAGTTTCTACTGACGGAAGTAACCGATGAGAAATTATAATAAGGAACTCGAATAAGACATTCGAGTCCGATATCGTAAGGAAGAGTGGGAATAAGCTCCATGAAAGGCGCAGAGAAAAGAAGGATAAGGTAGTGGATTTTTATATGTGAAGAAGAAGAGAAAGAGAAACAAGAAATCTTGAATTAATGGAGGGGACCCTTATGGGCATTTTAGCATACTTTTTAGCTGGAAGTTAAAAGGGTAGGAAGATATTCCAAATTGTTAAAGTTGAAATACTCGCAAAACGAGAAAGTAAGTTTCTAGAAAGATAATTGATGTTTGTGACTATAAAGTGAGTATTCTATAGATAAGACACTCCTTCAAGCTATTTTTAGTTCTTCTAGAAGGAATTAAAAAAGACCAGGTCAAATATATGAGATACTCCGTTTTACTCCACCAAAGTTACTTCTGCTACAACTCGAGATCTTTAGTGAAGGATAAAGTATGTATTCTTTCATTACATTTTTCGATAGTTTTAAATTATCGAGTTATATGAATATGATGTATTTGTGACTTTTTAGTTTGTATCTAATTTTTTTATCAGAATAAATAGTTATATGACTTTGTGAAAATAAATACCACTAGTTAAATATTACATGATCATATAGGAGATTCTAAATAAGTTTAAATGAAGTTAGAAGTTGGGGGTTGGATTGGGTCGGTCATATGAAGTTTATTAAGTAGGTTGGAGTTTTCTTAAGTTTTAAAAAACGTTTTTAATTAGAATAGAAATGTCCTTGTCAATTTTAACCGAAAAATTATCAAAGTAACCTTTTTTATGAAAAATAGTGAAAGAGTTAATTTTATGTTTAGAAAAAATTAGTTTGAGTTAAACTTCTTTTCACTGAAATAAAAACATCGAATAAAAAACTATTTTACTGTGAGTAATTTTTTTCTTTTCAATGAAACAAACATCTAAAAAAAACTATTTTTACTGTGCGTTATTTTTTATGTTAAGAAAAACAAGTTTGAGTTAAACTTCTTTTCAATGAAACAAACGAATAAAAAACTATTTTTACTGTAAATAAAGAGAACATGTACCTTATAATTTTTATAAGATCGACATATTCGCGTGGATTAGCACGCGTAGCCGCCCGTTACAAATATATATTATTCTAGAAGGTGAGGGTAATATTTCTCTAGTTTTATTTCATAAGTAAATATTACTATATATTTAAATAATTTTTTGTACAAATAAAAAATTATTAAATTCTTTGATCTCGTAGCAAAACGTGAAGTTCATTAGATAGAGATAAAATAAAAATATGTCTGTGGCTGTACGTTTGTCACCCCACGCCGTCTATTTAATCTTAGTCGTTTGTAACAATTTTTTTAAATTGAAATCGTTTTCAATATAATAGTACTAATATTTATTATATATATGTACTCTTAATATATAATAGAGTAAGTTAAAAGAGTGGTAACCAACTACACTACTGTATTATATTCCAACTCATGACTCATAAACTTTGGTACTATTATCTACATCACTTTTTCAGTTCTTCCAGAAGGAAAACGACTAGAGCAAGTCCACGAGATACCCATCACATAATGTTTGGGGTCACGAGATTTTTAAAATTTAAAGAAGTAAAAATAAGAACTAGTCGAAGGGGATTCGACATCTACTATATATACATAAAAAAAATAATTAACTATGTATAAATAGTGATATTTCCGCCGAAGAAAATTCGGATGAACCCCTAACAATATGTTGGCTCCGCTCCTGTATGGAGCTGTTTCATATTGGGCTGTTATTTTGTTTTGTTTTCTGGCTTGGACCTAAATCGTCGTCTTACCTTGGGAAGATAGATATTAGTTTTTGAAAACCCCTCAATATAAATAAACCCTCAAGGAAAAATTATATTATTTATATATGGTTAAAAAAATATGTTTATATAATAGATATTGAACCCCTTCGACTTTTTTCTTTGTTTATTTCTTTCATATTAGAAAAAATATTAACTCCATCACTATAAAACGGAAAGCGATACATTCATTTTATAGAGTTTTTGGTCAAAATCACCCCTCAACTATGACTCAAATCTAATTTACATCCTTATATTATCTAAGTGAGCAAAAAACATCCTTATACTATCAAAAAAATAACAAGAATCATCCTTCAGTCTATTTTTGTTAAGAAACTGATTGAACCAATAAACAAAATAATTTTTAATTTGGTCACGTCATGACCACGACGAGAAGATCAAAGTTACCTAAAAAGGATAAGGATATGGATAGGAAATGAATCTTTCATTCTCATAATTTAAATTTTGTGTGTTGTTAGTTTATATGTTTTTCCTGCATCATCAAGTAAATTGACTTGCAACAATACATAAGTTTTGAAATATTTATACAATACGTTCCGATTGTTAGAAAGATTATGTAAAAAAAATCCATTTCAAAAATATTACGTCTAACTATTTATAAGAGATTTTCTTTAATAAAATATTTAGGGCGTATATATACTATATATACAATAGAGTTCATATTTTATACAATGTACAAAAATGCTGGAAATTTAGTGAAATTACGTAGGTGTTTAGTTATGAAAATAAAAAAATAATTACTTTATTTGAAAATTTTGAAGTTGGAGTAGTATTTTGCCATGTTTTTACAAAGAATATTTAGAATTTGAATATATTTTGTCTAAATATGATTTAAACCCTCAATTTCTAAAAATTAAAAAAATCACCTAACTTGATTAGCTTAACCATGTGTACATATATTCATTCGACTTGACACATTTTTTGTTGGTGGCGTGAGTTTCTTAAAAAAAAAAATAGACAGAAGGATGAATCTTGCAACTTTTTGTATAGTTCAAGGATATTTTTTGTTCACTTATATAATAGAAGGATGTATTTTAAGTTTATGTCATACTTCAGAAATGATTTTAGCCCAAAACTCTTCATTTTATATGCCAAACAAATGTCCAAAAATAGTAAATGGATACATTCATTTTATAAACCAAACAAATGTCGAAAAATAGTAAGTGATCATATTCATATAGTGTGTACGTCACTGAACTTTGGTTACAAATAGTGCGCTCAAGTAATTCCTGTTATTTTTTCCAAAAAAATGTGCTTTGTATTTTTCTTACTGTATACTAATAGCATACACAAATAGTAATTGTCTCAACTGCATCAGATGGATAAAAATCTATTTTGGAGTTTCTTTTTTTATTCCTTATTTAATGTATGCTCACATAGGTACCTCAAATTATTCAAATTCACGTCCGATAAGATTTATTTATAAAATAAAAATATTTGCTACTAAAATATTTCTATATTAAGTGTTTAAATTCAAGATCTCTATATTAAAACTGAAAGAATTTTATCCAAAGTTTATTAAAAAGTCAAAACAAATAAGAAAAGAAAGAAAAACACACACATCAAGGATATGGGAAACTTACTGGAAAATGGCAATTGGCATTATTTGGATAAAAATTCTTTTTTTTTTAAAACCGTCGTGACGTAACAGATTTGTGGAAATGCTTCATCTACAGTAATTTGTTAAATGTCTGGACAAAAGCTTATCCTTCCTTGATAATGAAATGTATCTCTAGCTTAACTCGGGCTCAGCAACACTAAAAGAGTTTTAAGTACGGATCCCAGAGTCAATGGATCAGTTAGATTATTTGTTCATTAGGTGTTCTATGTTAATTTTATATAAATATCTTTAATTTCTACACATATATTTCTAGACGAGGTTAATAGGTGCTCAAACACCCGGGGTACTCTATGTGTGTCCGCCCCCTGCAAGAAACTCTAACTCCACCGATATGAACATCTGAAGTGTGGACAATATAAGATAGGAGGTTCAACATCAAAAATATAAATCAGGATGAGTCTGAAATTGATTTCCAAGTAAATATTATTTTATATTTAATAAAAATATTTAATTTAAATAAAAAGTTATTGAATTTAAACTCGCTTATGATTCGACCTGTTTATATCTAAACCGACCTATTAATTTATCAACACTATTAGCATGATTACTTTTTTCTAAACCTCTTAAATAAAAATTCTAGATCGTCCCCTGCCCACTGGAACCCAAAGTATTAGACAAAACATGGGCTAATAATTTGAGTTAATTACTCGCCGACGTACATTTTTTAATGTTTGTAATTCATACAAATTGACAAATTGCAGACAGAAACATGGGACCGATGTTTATTGAATAGAAATTAAAAAATACTAATATATCATTACGAGCTATATGTTTCTTCATATTTTTTTCTTATTACTATTTTTAAGTATATTAATATAAATATCGTTTGTTTACAATTAAGCAAATGAAAATGACTATATAGTGTAAGAATTATTATTTATTTACTATTAATTATTTCTTACTTATGGCCCAGGTTTACTTGGAATCAAAGTAATACCATAAATAATATTTAATAAGGAATAGATCTCGTCCGTACATTGGTTACTTGATGGATGTATCAGATTAAGTCATAACCTCTATAAATTGGTCCTCCCTCCACCCATTAGGGTTACCACATATTCTCTACAATAATTTTGAATTCACATCCCATAAGATTTATTTAAAATAAAAATGTTTCTACTAAAATATTTTTATATTTAATGTTTAAATTTGAGATCTCTATATTAAAATTGAAGAAATTTTATCCGAAATTTATTAAAAAGATGAAACAAATAAGAAAAGAAAGAAAAACACACACATCAAGGATATGGGCAACTTACTGGAAAATGGCAATTGGCATTATTTGGATAAAAATTCTTTTTTTTTAAAACCGTCGTGACGTAACAGATTTGTGGAAATGCTTCATCTACAGTAATTTGTTAAATGTGTGGACAAAAAGCTTATCCTTTCTTGATAATGAAATGTATCTCTAGCTTAACTCGGGCTCAACAACACAAAAAGAATGTTAAGTATGGATCCCAAGAGCCAATGGACCAATCAGATCATTTGTTCATTGGGTGTTCTATATTAATTTTATATAAATATTTTTAATTTCTATATATATATTCTGAGACGAGGTTAATAGGTGCTCGAGCACCCAGAATACTCTATGAGGATCCGCCCCTCCAAGAAACTC